TTTGCATAGTCAATGAAACACAGATAGACATTCCTCTGGTATTCCCTGTTTTCAGCCAAGATCCATCTAACATCAGCCTGGCTTATTAAAGAAAAAAAATATCAAAAGACACACGTTACTAACAGTAAGAATAGGAGAGGTAATTACTACTGAATCTATGGACATTAAAAGGATAATGAAGATTGTGAAGGATTCTCTACCCATGAATTTGATAACTTAGATAATATGGTCTAATTGGTCTCTTGAAAGATACAAAAAACAAAAGTCCCCCAGTGAGAAAAAGATAATCTGTGTAGGCCTATATCTCTTAAAGAAATAGAATAAATAATCTATTTTAAAAAACAAAACAAAACAAAACCAAAAAACCCTGCAAGCCCATGGTTGTATTAAACTTAAAAATTTAAGAAAATTTTAAATCATTTGAGACAATACCAATAGTATACACCATCTTCCAGAAAGTAGAAGGAGAAGGAACACTTTCAAACTCATTCTGTGAGGCCATATTCCCTAATACTAAAGAAAGTAAAAACATTACAAAAAAGGAAGACTACAGACCAGCATTTTTCATGTCTCTGTTAGGAAGAAACTATGGCTAACTCTGAGAAGAATGGGGATCCCAGAACACTTGGTAAGGCTTATGTGAAACCTGTGCTTGGACCAAGAGGCACTCATCAGAACAAAGCAAGGAAACACTGGATGGTTCAGAATTGGGAAGGGTGTATGCCAGGGATGTGTCCTATCTCCATATTTTTTCAGTCTGTGTGCAGAACAGATTACCTGGGAGCTGGGCTGTATGAGGTGATATGTGGCATCAGAGTTGGAGGAAGATTCATCAACAATCAGTGTTATGCAAATGACACAATCCTGCTTGCTGAAACTGAGGAGGACCTGAAGTGCTTGCTACAGAAGATCAAGGACTGTGGCCTCCTATATGGTTTGAAGCTCAACATCAAGAAAACAAAGAATCTCACCACTGGGCTGATTGGCAGCATCATGACAGGTGACGAAGAGATTGAGATTGTTAACAGTTTCAGTTTGCTTGGCTCCACAATCTCTTGGTACCATCAGCCAGGAAATTAATAGATGATTTGCATTAGGAAAGTCTACTGTCAGAGATCTCTCCAAAGTACTGAAGAGCAATGATGTCGGTCTGGACACTAAGGTGTGCCTAATTGAGGACATGGTCTTTGCAATTACTTAGTATCCATCAGAAAGATGGTCAGTGACTAGGGATGATAGAAGGAGAATTGATGCCTTTGAGGTCTGGTCCTGGAGAAGAGTATTGAATATACCATGGACTGCTAGGAGAACAAACAGGTTCATCCTACAGAAGGTGAGATCAGGCTGCTCCTTGGAGACAAGGATTCTGAAGTTTCATCTGACATACTTTGGACATATTGCAAGGAAGGAACAGTCCTTGGAGAGGGATTTATGCTTGAGAGGATGGAGGGACAGTGCAAGAGAGGAAGACCCTCAATGAGAGTGACTGGGGTAATGAGGCTAGGTGTGGCGAAGGGAAGATTGGCACAGGCTAGAGCAGGGTTATAGGGGCTTTTGTATATAGTGTCGCTATTAGTCACAGGCGACTCCACAGGACACAACAACAGCAACAATGAACATCAACATTTTTTTAAAATGAACCACACCTAGTTTTATTATGTATTTTTAGAGAAAAATTCTAACAAGCTATGGTAAGAAGCAGATATACACAAGGAATAAAAATAAAATTAAAAAGGCACTAAAGGTATCACCTTACAGTATTAGAAAGTGGTCATTCTAGTACCACAGTGGCCTGAGAGTTACGCTGATACCTTCTTAAAATTGTTCCTAGGACCTTTGAGAAATGACTAAGAGGAAAATCCTCAGTTGTTTTTGTTGTTGTTGAATACTCTTCGGTCTACTCCAGTTCATAGTGACCCCAGCCACCTCCATTTTGGTTACCAACCAAACCCTTTTAATTTTTACACTAACTGGGCTCCTGAATATCCGTATTTCTTTGCAAGGTATTATTTTGTATTTTGTACTTGGTTTAAATTCACACTGTGTTAAACCATGTGTCTTTTTCCAATCCCTTTTATACCCACAGACACCAATGAAGAAAGGAAAAGAAGGAAATACTGGGTTTGGTGGTCCGGTCATTAGTTCACTGTACCATGAAGAAATCATCAGGTAGTTTCTCTTCCATGTGTCTGTGTGCGTATGTTTATATTAATTTTGAAGTATTCCTTTTGTAAAGCTTTTTTTTTTAACATGAAACTGACTAGGCAGTGTCGCTAGTAGAAATATAAAAGGCAGCAGAGACTGTTTTCAGGTGTCCAGTCTTTAAAAGCACAAAGTGTTAGAGTCTGTGCAGGTTACTTACCTTTCCTCATCTGTATAATTGGTGTGGTATTATTTTACATCATGAATAATGTAATATATTTTGTTATTGTTATTAGGTTTTTCTGAATACTGTTTTTTCTTTCAAAGATTTTAATTTTCATTGTTTATTTTCTTTAGCTACAAATTAAGTTCTTTTCTGTTGTTCAGTGAAATTCTTAAATTTTGTATGCTATACATAAAGTTTTTTAAATCATTTTTTCCTTTCACTCCTATCTATAAACTTGGGGGTTAAAAAGATCCTATGCTAGAGAAGTGTACTCGGGGTGGGGGGAAGGGGGAAGGGACGTGGGAATTGTATACTAATGAAGGAATTTTTTTTCTTTTTTTTTTTTCTCTCTTTGGAGGGGGAAACGAGCTGGTGGGGAGGGGTGGGCAGGGAGAAAATTGTGGCAATGAATGAATGGAAATCCAAAACCTCTGTAAAAAAAAGAAAAAAGAAAAAAATTTTACAAAAAAGATCCTATGCAAACCTTTATGGTAATCATTCTAGAGGATAAAAGAGTAGGTTAGTCATTCTTCCTCTATTTTCCCATAGTTCTTTGATTATAATTTTACAATAGTATGTATCATATACCTCTTTGAAAATCTACTCTCTGTATTCTGAAAAAAGGGATTTCTGAACCAGAGCACTGAAAAGCAATGATGTCAGTCTGGAGACTAAGGTGCACCTCATCTAAGCCATGGTCTTTGCAGTTACTTGCAATGCATCAGAGAGCTGGACAGTGACTAAGAATGATAGAAGAATTGAAGTCTTTGAATTCTGGTGCTGGAGAAGAGTATTGAACATATCATGGACTGCCAGGAGAACAAACAGGTCTATCCTAGAGAGGGTGAAACCGAGTTGTTCACTTGAAGCTCCATCTGACATACTTTGGTGATGTTGCCGTAAGGGACCAGTCTTTGGAAAATGACATCATGCTTGGAAGGGTGGAGGGACAGCACAGAAGAGGAAGACCCAGGAGAAAATGAATTGACCGTAACTGGGGTAATGAGAAGTAGGTGTGTTGGAGACAGTGAGACGGGCTCAGGACAGGGCAGACTTCAGAGCTTTTGTGCATAGGGTCACTATGGGTCACTATGAGTCACAACCAACTCAATAGCACATAGCAGTCTTAACTTTCTAGCAGTATTAATCACTTAGCTTCGTAATAGTGATCTTTATTTTATATGCTGACTTCCTTAAGGGCTCCCAGACTTAAGTATTTTTCAAACTGACATGCTAAATAGAATTTCTTTCTTCCTTCTACTTTTTTAATGTGACAAGAATTTGGAAGGTAAACTGTTCTAGGTTTGATGCAGCAGTTCAGTCCATCAGTCTTATCTAGTGGTGCTGTAACAGAGGTCTACTTTTAACAAACAGAAGTTTATTTTCTTACAGTTTAGGAGTCTAGAAGTCCACATTAAGGGAGGGCCTTTTCTGTCAGTTCTGGAGGAAGCTCCTGGTGTTCTTTAAGCATCTGTAGGCTGGTGTGCCATGGAGATTTCCAGGTATTTTGGTTTTCCTCAGTGTCATGGAGTTTCTTGGTGTGAGGACTGGGGCACAGAAGTATGCACTGCACTCCTGGCTGTTCTTTCTTGGTGGTATTTTGTATGTGTGCATGTGTCCCCCACCCCCCAATTTATTTGCTTGCTTCTACTTTTATCTCTTAGGAGAGAAACATTGTAATGGACCACACTCTAAGAATATTCCCCTTACACCCGATCAGAGCTGTGATGGAATTAAGGGATGTTGTGTTCCACCCTTAATCCTTTTACAACTGTTTTGTTTATCAGATCATGAGGGATTATTACATAGCTTCCACATAATACATACATTTTAGTGGGGCATAGTTCAAACATGGACTAGCATAATGGGTTTAATGTATGTGACATGTAAAATAGCCACTTTAAAAAAAATTTGTTGCAGTTTTTGAGAATAGAATATATACCACCCAAAACAACATCGGTGGTTTCTACGTGTATCATTTAGTTAGTGGTTTAGATGACATTTTTAAAGTTGTATAACCATTCTCACATTCCTTTTCCAACTTGTTCCCACACTTATTAACATAAATTCACTGTCTTCTAAAGTTCCTGTCTAATCTTTCTATTGCTTTTACAAATTTGATTCCATATAAGCAGTTCTTCTAAGACCATGATGCTCAAGGTAGACAGTTTTTTTTACTCACTTGATACTCATTCACCCGCCGCTGCTGAGTTAGTTCTGGTCCACACTCATAACACGCTCCATTGGGTTTCTGTAGCTATAAATTGCAAGACAAAGAGATTGTTCATCCTTTTCCTGTGAAACTGAAGGCAGATTAAGCAGGATTTCACATCAGCAGTAAAAACAGGTGACCTGACAGTGTGGAAATAATCGAACAATATCACTGTATCACACACAAGCAAAATTCTGCTGAAGATTATACAAAATCACCTGGAACAGTATATCAGCAGAAAACTAGCAGAAATAAAAGCTGGGTTTAGAAGAAGTTGTAGCACTAGAAACATCGCCAATGTCAAAGGATCTTGGCAGAAAGCAAAGAGTACCGGAGGAATGTCTATCTGTGTTTTATTGACTATGCAAAGGCATTTGACTGTAAGGATCACAATAAACTATGAATAACCTTGAGAAGAATGGAATTACTAGAATATTTAATTGTGCTCATGCAAAACCTATACTCAGACCAGGAAACAATCCTCAGAACAGAGCAAGGAAACACTGCATAGTTCAAAACCAGGAAAAGAGTGTGTCAGAGATACGTCCTGTCTCCATACCTTTTCAGTCTATATGCAGAACAGATCATTCAGGAAGCTGGACTTTATGAGGAAGAATGTGGCTTCAGGATTGGAGGAAGACTCAACAGATGATAGATACAACCTTGCTTGCTGAAACTGAGGAGAACTGAGGGGCTGACTTCAGAGCTGTTGTATATAGGTTTGCTATGAGTCACAGATGACTTGACAACATATTAAAAACAAAACCATTAGTGCAGCTGTCCAGACATGCCACCAGAGCGCCCTCAGTCTTATAGCTGAACTAAACTGCTTGTCTTTTAAGGATACTTTGGGGGGTATTTTTATTTTAAGGTTTAAAAATTATCTCGGCATAAGATCATCATTGTAAAAATAGAAGGATAACTAGTAGAACACGTATGGGGGTCTAGTGGGGGAAGAGGTGGGAGCGAAGGAGTGGGAGCAAAAATCCGAGGATAGGTAAGGGGAAAATCAGAGTCACTCAGTTTGGTAGGTGGAGTGAAAAGGCTAGAGGAAATGGGAAAGATCTTGCATAGGACCTGAAAAGACAGGATAAAGGTGGGCATAGTCCAATGGTGATTAATTTTATAAAATACAATGAATAGGAGTGATTTAAGAAATATAATATCAGTGAAAGAAAGTATGAAACAAAAGAAACCCAAACTACTATATACATGAATACAACATAATATATGAATAATTACTTGCATACCAATATTTTTTAAAAAGAGTTTAAAAAAATCTCTCAGGGCAATAGTTCCAGAGATTCCACTGACCTTCATGGCTTCTAGAAATCTGGAGTCCCTGAGAATTTTAAATTCTGTTACACATTTTCCCCCTTTTGATCAATATTCTCCTATATAATCTTTGGTCACAATGTTCAGTGTTGCCAACCAGGCACTATCCAGTTTTCTGGTCTCAGCAGAGGGGGAAGTTTCCTTAAAGGCTGTTAACCTAAATACAATTGCTTCTTCTTTTTTTTTTAATTGTGATTTTAATGAAAGTTTACAGAAAACTTGGATTTATATTCATTTATTGTTACACATTTCCCCCCTCTTCTTCCCTTTCCCCTCCCTTAGTCCTCTTGCAATAGTCATACAATTGCTTTTGAAATGTTCAGTCAGTTTAACATGACTGATCACAGTAGCACTATAGAACATAAACCAAATCAAACGTACTAAAGTGATGGAAGTAATATAGAACAATGGAATATTTCTAAAGTAGAGCTAAACTATGTTAGAAGGGTTAACCTTTCCTCATCCCTCTTCCAGTTCTTAAAGAAGTTACACTTAGATGTAAATCAATGTTTAAAATTTAATATTAAAAAACAATAACAATAATAAAGCCTAATTTCATAAAGTAGAGATTTTAACTCCAGCATCACACATGTAAAATGACATGAAAGTTTTATGGATATCTGTGCTGCTCCATTTCTTCACTTTTAAACAATATTTTTAATTCTTTGTACTTGTGACATCTGGATGTAATTGGGTTTAAGAATACTGTTAATCCAAAGTCTCTGTATATTTTAATTAAAATTAATAATAATTTTAAAAAATTTTTAAAAATACTGTTAATGAATACTGTATGTTAATTGGGTGAAGTATTAATGTTGCTTGTGAACAAAGTTCACAACATAGTCTTGTTTCATTAAAACATCTACATGTCAGTCTTTTTATGATAAGGAGCCCTGGTGCACAGTAGCTAAGTGCTAGGCTGGTAGATGAAAGGTCAAGGTTTAAACCCAGAAGCCACTTTATGGGGAAAGATGAGATCATTCTATAAAGATTTCAGCATTGGAAGCCCTGTAGGGACAGTGCTACTCTCCCTGTAGAGTCTCTTAATAGTCTGAATTGACTGGATGGTGATGGGTTCCATTTCAGTGGTCTAAAATGTTATATTCTTGAACATATTGGTTGTTGTTGTTGTTATGTGCCGTCGAATCGTTTGTGACTCATTGAAATTGTAAGAAACATGAATCTGAAAGAACTACGGTAAAAGCCTAAGCCAGCCAGAAATTACAGCAATTAGGCAGGTAATTGTACTGAGAG